ATGTTTTATATATTATTCAAGTTTTTCCTTATTCGGAAAGAATAATAGGAAAATGTTTACCTTTTGCACGAAAATTTTTTCAAAATCTTTGATGTTGAAGTTTACCGAGGAAAATATTAGCAAAACAATTTCACAATGGACCCACATCAAATTTTTCTATCCAAAACTATTTCAACGTCTCCATATGTAAACCTTAGAAATTAACAGTGACCTCAATATCAAGTTTCAGAATTTCCGCTCTATTCCTTTAACCAACATCAAAATCTAGTAACATTTATTACACATATCCAAAACAATCTTCATCTCTCCAGGGATGAATGTTTGCTGGGATTAATGTCTCTTACATTTCTTGCTCTAATGAAAATGTTAGTTTCGTAAATTTATCTTTTCGCATTATTAGATTGTTTAATCAGTCAAAAATGAATGTGCGTGTCAAACTAAATAATAAACAATTAAACCAATTGTTAACATTATTTGCAAAATTGAATTCAATTCGGAAGCGTAAAAAAAGATAAAAATGAAACTTAGATTGGCTGGCTGCCTTTCTCTATGTCTCTCTGATTATTAATATTGTCGCTTTGCCGGTTGTCATCACATGTTGTGTGACAAGCTTTAATTTAAATGGATTAGATAAATGTTTAGTGTCAATTTTCATTCATATTTCATTAGGAATTTGTCAAACAATGACTGTTTGCTAAGTTATTTGAAATTCTTTTGATATATAGAAACTTCATTTTCAAAGAAAAGGTTTCACTCCAATTCGTTACAAATGTAATAAAAACCAGTAAGGAAAGGTCAAAAGTCGGCAGGCCGACTATATGATACCCTACACCACTATGCGCATTTTGTATTCGGTTGAATATGAAAAAATCTTTTTAATTCGGGCTGATATTACATATATGGTGGACAATAGCCGTAAAATCGGATAAAGATATATATCAAAGCTACATAAAAATCTTAACCGATCTCGATAAAATATGGCAGAGGAATTTTTTAAGCAGTATCTGATGCCCGAAATCTAATATCATTGTTGTGGAGTGCATATTACGCATGTGAGGAACTTTAACACCAAATCGGATAAAACATATATATTGGAGCTATATCTATATAAACCGATTTTCTCCAAATTTGAAGTACTTATTTCTAGGATGAATTCATTCGTAATTGCCAACAAACAACAAACCTGATATAGAATGAAGATATATATGGGAGCTATACTATATTTCAAAGTCGTTATATAGTTAGCCAGTTAAGCTTGAAAAAGAAATATTTTTAATTCGAATTGTTTGAATTTTTGGAATTGAATTGTTTGAAATGCCTTGGTTGCAATGAATTGTATGAATTGAATAAATTGAATTGAATTCTATGGCTTGAATTGTTTGAATTGACTTGGTCATTTTTATACGCTCCACTCCGCAATAAATTTTTAATTGAGGTCAGCAGTTTAAAATAGCCCCTTTAAATGGTACCCTCTGGTGCTATAGATTTTGAAACTTTTAACTTTTAGTTTAAGCCGAATTGGCAACACTTTGGTATTTTTGGTTAAAGTATTAGGCCGAAATGGCACCAAATTTTAAATTTCGTAATAATTCGCAATTGACATAATGGTGTCTTCTTTTTTAGGAGCATCTGAAATGTTCACAAGTCACAGCAGGAAGGCCTTATATTCAGGTGGTCCCAAAAAATATTCGTTAGAGATCTTGAAAAGTCATTTCATATTTTAATAATCTTTCGAAAATCATAGTCCAAAAAAATTGTATAAAAAATCCGCAACCATAACTATGAGGGTCTTAAAAGATATATATATATATTTTAATAAATATAGATGTTTGTCTTCTTTTGTATATATGTTATAAAAACACAAAAAACTGATGATTTATATAATTCTGTGTCTTCCTCTTTCGTTGGCGATCATAAAAGTGTATCCCATTAAAAAAAACTCTCAAAATACGACTTGAATATTAATTTGGTCGGCTTTCATGTTCAAAACACCCCCACCATGAATGTATAATTTAATTTTTTGCCAATCTCTTTCTTTGCATGCAAATCCAGTGAAATCCACCAGAGTTACGACGCTGCTCTAAACTCTCAAAACACGAAAATGCAATTTAAAATCACTCACCACCACTCATCGTTGTCATCAATTGACAAATTGATGATTGTTTGGCTGGCTGGCATTAAATGCCTACCTATCTTTCATTAAAACCATCATCTCGTTTATGAACTTCCTCTCTCTCTCTATCTCTTCTTCTCTTCTTTTTGGCCAGGTTTAACCACAAAAAAAGCGCAAATATTTAAATTAAATCATAGAAAACGTAAGAAAGCCAAGCTTTGTCGTCGTGAGTGGGTTGATTGGTATGTAAATATTCGTCACATTGTGACTTTACAACAATAGTCTTGGCTTTATTGTTGTTGTAAATTGAAAATTAAAAAATGTGCGAATGAATCATAAATTGACATGTTGACGTAGTCAAAAGCCTTTTTTTGTCTTGAAGCCAAATAGGGCGTAGGACCGACAAATATGTTATTTCCCGGAATCAAAGGTGTTAAATAGTAAAGTTGCACTGCTAATCGATAGTTATTGAAATTGGTTGAGATGAATTTCGCACACACAGACACACAAATAATTACATGTGTACTTAATAAAGGATTTTTTCCAACAAACATCCATCCAGGCTTAGACACTAAAGAGATCAGAAAAATTGAACTTTTCCTTTTATAATATACAAAAACGCCAGAAGAGTAGCCATTTAGGGGTGGGAGGTGATCTTTTCAAATTTTAAAGACCAATAGCCGTGAATTTTTTAAGAGTAATATTTTAAGGTCTGACTGACTAGCAATCTTTGATTTTTAAAGAGATTTCTTGAAGAACCAACTGTAGACATAATCGTGGTTTTCAGATGGAAGTTTTAGAGGGTCCAGTAGAAAAAACTTTAAAATGTTTAAAAAATTGTGAATTTTTATACGATCATCCACATGGCTGTAGAGGGTATACATCATTTGATACGACCAAAACGAATCTCATCGAAATAACAGCTTTATAACCTAGGCCCCTTTGGATGAAATCTATTTCAGGACATTTGAAGTTAATCTGCCTGTTTGTCTGGCTTGTGCGCACAATAACCCTCGAGCGTAGTTTTCGGTTTCGTCCAAATTTGACACATCGTAATACGTAGTATTCTCGAGTTCAAAGATGGGCAATATCGGTCTACTACTTCCGGTATCTTTACCACAAAAATTTTAAATTTTCGCAGAAAATAATTTACTTCATAAAACAAGAATAGATTATCCGATTTTGTTCAAATTTTGGAAAACAATTGCATCAGTGATAGGTCAGGTGGTACGACCCTTTCCATGTGGTACCTCTCCCACAAACGGTCAAAATTTTGAATAATGATAAATCTAAAAAAATTTAAAATAAGAGTCCCATTTTCTCAAATTTCGCACATCCCAGTATCAACACAGAATCTGGTGTGAAGATGGGATATGGCGGACCACTTCCCTGGCACCTCCCCTACAGGGAGTCAAAACTTGAAATAGTTGCAAGTCTCGAAATACTTTCATCTACAATCACCCAATACCAAATTAAGTAGAATTTGGTAGTTTTCGAACAATTATAGTACGGCATTTTACTCTTACCCATATACAGGTTGAGATAAAAAAAAAAACTGCAACCAACTTCAGACTGCTGCCATTTCTAATCCACTCGACCCACAGCTGCTAAAATTGTACCAGTGATAGTGTGATTTCTCTATCTTCTATCGTTAGAGCACTCCAACATTTAAATGTGAATAAATCTTTTGTGGACGGAAGAAAACAGCAACATCATCAGAAATGGCTCGAAAAGTAAAGAAGCGACTTGATCGAAACCCGCGTCGCAGTGGCCTAAAAATGTCTCGAGAGCCGAACATATCGCAATATTCCATTGGGCAAATTTTGAAAAATGAGCTCGGGGTAAAGCCATTGAAATTCCAAAAAGTGCAAGATCTTACACCGCTCGCCTCGCTTGGCCGAATGTGGTGAACTGCCGAATTTGGTTTTCTCCGATGAGAAAACATTCGTTGTCCAGCAGTTTGTAAACAAACAAAATGATCGTGTTTACTTGCCAAAGAGGTCAGCTGAAAATGTGCACCTTCGATTGGCCACCAGAACTCAAGAATGGTTAGAAAATGATGTTCCTCGCTTCATTTCCAGCGCAAAATGGCCACCAAAATCTCCGGATACCAATCCGTTGGACAATTGTGACTGGAGCATTTTGAAAAGCAAGGTTGGCACTAAAAAATAGCAACGTTTCGATCACCTCAAGCAAGCATTTCGCCGGTAATGGGCCAAAATACCGCAGAGCAACATTCGGACAGTGTGTGACGGTTTCATTGGCCGTTTGAAGGCCATAATTCGTGCCAAAGGTGACCAATTCGAAAAAATCTAAACTTATTCTAAAATTTGATGCTATTTCCAACATTTTGAGCTTTCATTCAATAAAATTGAAAAAAATGTAAGAATTGTGGCGTTTGACTTTGGTGCAATTTTTAATCTCACCCTGTATAGATATAGCTAAATGGACATTTTTAACTATCTTCTAAAGATCTTCTAAGAAAGGAGACATTATGAAGTAATTTTCAAAGAAATCCTTTGGAAAATTTTCTTTGGAGTTAAAACATTTTGCATGTCTTCTCTATGTCGATTGGGTTGGGTTTCCATTTAAGAATTTTATTTTTTTTTTTTTGTTTGCATCTCCGCTACGTCTTTTGAAACTCTCTGTATAGCATATTTCCGAATAAAGGATTTTCTGATAAGAATAATAAATGCCAACTAGTATTTGTTATATGGTAGCCTTACTTGGAATGAAAATGTAAATACCATTTACTTAGCAAATACGGTGAAATAGTGTGAGACATTTGTGGCTAATTTTCGCCATGTCAAAAAAATAATGGTTTTTTTTTTTCAATTTTCTTTTTTTTTTATAAAGAATTTTTTTGACAAATTCTTTGCCAACTTACCTTGCAACATCGATCTGTAGGCGGTATCTGTTATGGCAAAGACATGTGGTGGCACTTCATGTCTTTTGATGCCCTTATACCGTTCCATAATTTTTTCCGTGTAAATTGGTAATTTCTTATAGGGATTAACAACGACGCAGAAAAGACCGGAATATGTCTGAAAAAATACAACAACAAAAATGAGCATGATTAATATTTTATTACAAGAGAAAAATGTAAGAAAAAAAAAAAGGAAGCAGAAGAAAACATTAAAAAAATTATAAATAAAAAACAGTAACAAGAAAATAATGATAACAAAAGCGAAGCGACGTTGTTGGTGGAAGTATTAAATATTTATGCATCAATGCTTTTGCAAATGTTTATTTCCATATATTCGTACATATGTATGTGTGTATATATGTGTCTGTCTGTTATGTATACAGAAATAATAAAGTTTAATAACCCTAAAATTATGAATATGTAATGGTTATTTAAACAAATTTTAATATCATAATAATACGCTCTAAAAATGTATGTAAGGGAAGATAAAAAAATATACATTAAAAAAATCAATATGATCTGCTTCAGCTTTGCAAAATAATGGTTTTTCAAGACCCTTTTCAAGGGTTTCAATATTACAGCTACAGCTACAGAAGTCCCTGGTTCCTAGGTTCGTCTGTATAGACCCCCATTAAAAATCCATATAAAGGCGCATTTCAGATCGCCTATAAAACAGGTCACATATAAAACATACTCAGATTGTCTATAAAGACGGCGCTTGAAGATTTGAAGATCTTGGCCTTCATACCGCCTATATAGACAGCCTTCGGATCGCTCATAAAGAATTGGAGCATGTAATCATTCAAGTGAATAGTTTTAAAAATACAAAGAACCACTACATTTTCAAGAGGTATAAAATAACAATTTGTAGGCAATCGGAATGACAAGAAAGTTTCACTATTTCAATGTGTTTGGCCATTTGGTTTGAAATTTGAATTGCCCAAAATATTTGAAAACAATTTTTTGTTAGAAAATCCAAAAAGTACTAATAACAAGTAAAAAAACAACTAAGTTCGGCCGACCCGAACTCCAACATTCGGGGGAAAATTAAAAACAATCCATCGAAAAATACCGCTCAAATTACAACCTTTATATTGGGGCTATACGGAGACGTGGTGCTGGATAAATAATATATATATATATATATATATATATATATATATATATATATATATATATATATATATATATATATATATATATATATATATATATATATATATATATATATATATACGGATATATACGGAGACGTGGTGCTGGATAAATAATTTTTTGTCATAGGCTGTAGTATTACGAATCTCAAATACGAAAATTCTGAAAATACCAAATATCGGGGGCACCATTGTATGAGGGCTATACGATATTGTGGACCTATATAGAAAATTCTCTTTCAGGGGGTAATGTACTCACAGAGAACTTCTTGTGTAGAATTTCAGACAATGCCATTAAAAATGTAACTAAAATCATCAAAATACCGAATGACGGAGGGTACATTAATATGGGGATACACGATAACGCGCACATATATATACAATTATGTTTTGGATGGGAGGGGGGGGGGGGGGGGGGGGTTGTGTTAAGTACTCACAGAGAACTCCTTGCGGGGATTTTAAGCTAATTCCAATGAAAAATGTAGCTAAAATCATCAAAATACTAAATATCGGAGGGGGCACCATTGTATGGGGGATATACGACATCGTGGATCAGGGAGTAAAGTACTCACAGAAAACATCTTGTGTAGAATTTCAGACAATTGCATTAAAAAATGTGGCTAAAATCATCAAAATACCGAATATCGGGAGGTACAGTTATATGGAGGATATACGATATCGTGAAAATCCTCTTTCTGCTTTTTAATGATGATCATTGAGTTTCCTCTTAGAGATGAAATATTTAAAGCCTTCTACCTCTAGAGAGAAGAGAGAGAGAGAACTCTCCAAGAAGGACAAATCTTATACTCATATACGACCCATACTTTTACATCCAAAATCAGTTGGTATTCTAATTTTTTTCGGGAAAAAGAAAGATCGCAAAATATCCTTTTCATAAAAAATCTATAGGCATTCCCCAGCACACCAGCTTTGAGGGAGTTTTTATATAACATATAGGTCATCTTCTGAAAAAGAAGACAAATATTTTTGTAATTTTGATTTAGGGGTCAATATAGCATCTTCAGTCTTGAAATTAACAATGGATTAGCTGGCAATTGTAACTTGCACCATTTGAATTTGAATGAAAAACCAGTAAAGTGGGGCGAGGACGGGCTAATATTACTCGTTTGGTGCACAATAAAGGCCAAATCGGCCAATATATATAGAAGATCTATATCCAAACTTGAACCGATCTCGATAAAATTTGGGAAAGGTATTTCTGTGCGGTATTCGATATATTTCCCCAAATATCTTTGTTACAGAGTGCATATTACGGCTTCGGAGGACAAAAATATCAAATCGGATGAACAATATATATGGGAGCTATATCTATATCTGAACCGATTTTCACCTAATTTGACATATTTGCTTTCATGCTCAATTTGGTGGTAAGTGCCACATTCCGTGCATACGTTTGGTGTACAATAAAGGGCAAATCGGACGGAGATATATAGAGAAGCTATATCCAAACTTGAACCGATCTCGATAAAATTTGGGAAAGGTATTTCTGTGCGGTATTCGATATATTTTTCCAAATCTCGTTCTTTCGGAGTGCATATTACGGCTTGGAAGGACAAAAATATCAAATCGGATGAAAAATATATATATGGGAGCTATAGCTATATTTGAACCGATTTCGATTAAATTTGGCATATTTATTTCCAGGCTTAATTTGGTCGTACAAGCAAAATTCCATACTATTTGGGCTAATATTACACGTTTGGTGCACAATAAAAGATAATTCGGACGAAGGTATATATGGGAACTATATCTCAATTCTGATCGATCATCTCCAATTTCAATAGGGTTCGTCCTTGAGTCAAATAAATGACTAGTGCAAAATTTGATCTGGATCGGGCAATAAATGAGTCCTGTACTTTACTTTGTACTTTGTTTACAAAAATACATGGACAGACAGACGGACATGAATAAATCGACTCAAAATGTCATTCTATGCAGATCATCAAAATGAACTGTGGGTCTAACACGTTTCCTTTTGCCTTTTACAAACAAATGCACAAAGACATAATACCCTGACCACCTTGTGGTGTAGGTTATAATAAGTCTTCCTTAAACCGCAAAATAGGTACAGGATCGACTTATAGTCGCTTTGGACAGTCTACATAAAAAAAAAACTTTTTTGACATTCCATCTTCCTTTACTGGTTTATATTGATTTATGCCTATTCCTTGGATCGCTTTTGTCCTACAGTTAGTTGTATAGAATTTTGAACGTGATTCGTCTTAAATGTTCATTGAAAACAAGAGCTCTTTTTTGCCAAAGGATTCGATTGACTTTGTAAACTATTTTTTTTAAAAACAACTACAACTATTTTCTATAATTTATTCAACCCCACCCCCATTCAAACTCCAACTGATCGTTGTCAGTATATCAAAGTTTCGTTGTTGAAAACCCAATAACTTCAAATTGAATGATATCATTCGAGTCGGTATATCTGTACACAAAGTATATTTACCATATATACATATATGCATGCATACATACATCCATGGTATATATGTATTGGGGGGGCTACCCTTCTTTGAGAATGCGATAACAACGAAATATTTTCACAGTTAAACTACAGAAGTTTGAAGAAATGGGTCTGATATCACGTAAAATGAGTTTTGCTGTTTTGTTCTTTTTTTCGTGGAATGATGACTTCATTTCGTTTTTTGTGATTGAAATGAATGATGACAGTTTATGATGGGACGCCTAAAGAAATAAAAAAGCAAGCAAATATTTAAAAATTCACAGGCAAGGATTAGTTTTTTGTAGAAATCAAATTGATTTTTTTTTTTATTTATTTGTTTTTTTTTTATTTTTGTATGGAAGTAAGTGAACAAACTTAAAATGTATGACACATTTAAATATATTTCGACTTCTGTTGTGTTTATTCAAATTTTTGACCATCTATGGAGTAGGTTCCCAAGGAATGGGTATGATATAAATATTGCGACGTGACAGGTTTGGACTATATTGGTTACTTCCTTCACTTTATATGAGATATGTAATAATTTTGGTAAAATGTTAAAATTTGCGTGATATAGTCGCCGAAGTATTCCATTTTCATACTTCATCTAATGCAGATAAAAATACAGGTATGGGCAAAATTACAAGAAAATCGAACATTTATATCCAATTTTATGCGAAAACGGAAATTTCGATAAGCTTCATATTCATTTCAGTCTCTGGTTGAGAGAAACTTTTAGATATAGCAAGTTGTAAAGAATCGCTGATTTGTTTCGCAAGTTATGACAAATATAAGTATTCAAAATTGTGACCCTTTGTGAGATACCAGAAGGGGTTGACAGATACATATATCATCTTCACAACAGATCTTGCGTTAGCAAAAATGTTTGGATGCGGGAAATTTGAAGAGAGTTGGATGCTTATTTTTCTCTCTCTCTCTCTCTCTCTCTCTTTCTGAGCGTTTTGTTTTTCAAAATCTTAAACGCTATGTAGGGGAGGTACCAGAAAAAATGGTCTGATCTCTACCTCTTTATAGCAAATCTTGTGTTGATGGAAATATTGAGATTTACCAAGTCTGAATGGAATCGGATGTTAATTTTGCGTTTTATGAGTTTCATTGATATTCAAAATGTTTACCCTTTGTGGGGAGGTACCAGAAGGAGTGGACCGATACATGCCATCTTCACAGCAGATTTTGTGTTAGTAGAAATAATGGGATGTTGGAAATATGAAACGAATCGGATGCTTATTTCGGATTTTATATCGTTTTGGTTATTCAAAAATTTGACCCTTTGTGAGGGAGGTTCCAGAAGAAATGGTCTGATCTCTACCATCTTTAAAGCAGATCTTGGGTTGATTGAAATATTGATATGTGCCAAGTGTGAATGAAATCTGATACCAATTTCGCGTTTTATGAGTTTCATGGGTATTCAAAATGTTGACCCTTTATGGAACAGGTACCAGAAGGAGTGAACCGATATATCCCATATTC